ATTATATAATACAAATCAGGTCATAATAGATTTACAAAATTGGCTGATAATAAATAAAGTTGATAATAATTTAGTAATATGTTTATTTGTTCTAGATTCAGCACAGATTAATAATAAATCAACTATTTTATTTAATTTTTTAAAATACATTAAATCAAGATAATTTTTATTTGAAAATTATATAATTAATTATATAATCTTTGCATTATATTTATCCATTAATGATATTAAATCTTTTTAAACTTTCTCATATATAAGCATATAAGGACTTTAAGAATTCTCTCTAAAGCCTGTCCTACCTGATAAAATATTCTACAATCAATTGGTTATTTAATAAATCTATATAATTTTGTTAATAAATTTAATAAACCAACTAATATTTTATCAGTAGGTGTATTTTTTATCTATTTTTTTAACTTTTATAATTAATTAAGTTTTATAACATTTATTCACTTAATTTTTAATAATCAATGTATTATTATGATTCTTCAATTTCAATTGCACATAATTAAATTATAAATTCCTAATATTATGCTGAATTACCTTAAGTATTTAACATTATTTTCAATTATTAGAACAGCATTCTATTAGGTTAATTATTTTTTTAAACTTTCAAGACAAAGTACTTAAATTGCTCTGCTTGATAAATTTCTTAATGTATAAGATGTTCATGTAAATATGCTACTAAAAATATTTATTTAAAAACTCTATATTTTCAATACTTTTTGCTAATAAATCTTAATTATTCAATTAGATTACGATTATAATTATTATACTTTGTTTTATTATTTATCTATCTTCTTATTCTAATTCATTACATTTTAATAATTCTTATATAAGATTAATTAAAATTGGAATAAAATTAATTTATTTTTTCTATTATATAATCACCTAATCTACTTTCCTTTAATATATAAACTAATTATTAAAATTCATCTTGATGACTTATATAAATTAGATCTCTAAGCAGCAAAACCATTTACAACATTATTTTAAAATTTATTTCATAAAAATGATAATATTTCTTTACCAATTTATGATAAAGTAAATATACATATCATTTATTTAACTATACTAACACTCTTACCTTAATATTCTTTAAAAAAATTATTACAAAAATTTACTCATCCATTTATCTTTTAGTTTTAAGAAATATTAAAGCTTATAATCATCATAAGAAATTAAATAATATATAAACTATAATGACTACAAACTAAGATTGAAACGATGGTTAAGTAATATTCTTAAATTTTAATATCTATTTAATCAATTAAGAAGAAGGTGGTAAACTTCTTAATAAATACCAAGTTTTTTCTTGAACTTCATTACTAGAATATTATAGAAGTTCAAATAATAAATCTAAATATTCTTAATTTTAAACAATCTATCCTCTTGCTAATTATTAAGCATCAATTTCTGGTAAAGTTATTCTAACTCCTCTTATTAAATAACTTCTATAATATAACATATTATTCAAAAGTTCTTTGAATATTAGCATTTTCAATACTACATGGATTACCAGTACATCCAGTTATAAGTACCATCAGTTGAATATTCACTGAAGATTTCTGCAAATACTACTTTAGCTTATTCTGATAAACTATCACTTTATAATAATGGAATTTTTTATGCATATTTACTTATCTTTTAAAAACCAAAATTATTTCATCCTTTTTTCATCTTTCCATTTTCTGTAAATTTTATATCCCCTTTAAGACAATTTAAACCAATAGCATCCCATTCTAATTTAATGACGTTACTTATTGCAAATCTTAATTCAACAATAGTTTAATTATCATTATATAAATTTAAAAATTAAATTATGAATTGGAACCAAAAATTTGAGATGTATTCTAATGATTCTTAAGCTATGCCAAAAACTTCAATCAACAGCTTATTGCTATGTTGAAAGCTATGATGCTATAAAACTATAAATTAATGGAGTCTTTTAATAGGTTTAATTGAGATCAATGAATATTCTCTCAGATTATTAGGAGCTTTAAATAGAAGAAAGGGAAAGCATATGATTATAATATGAAAAGGCCACTGATTTAACCACTCAGCCTTGGTTCTTAGAAGTTGGTAGGAAATAGGAATGGGTGAAAGCAGAGTTAGAAGAAATAAATAATTATGCGGATAAAAAATTAAATTAGTTGATGACTTTGAAAAAATTTTCAAACAGAAAAACAAGCTGAAGCCTAGAAAATGGAAGTAACAAAAGAGGTAGAAACCCCACCGATTATGATTTATATCCCTCCTTAATAGGGTTAAATATATAAATTATCATTTATTTTTATTGTATATTAATATTTATGATATTATATTATAAATCTTCTTTATTAACTAATTTCATATTAAATTTAAATTGATAATTTTTTTCCTTAAGATAAAGCATTTAACTTTTAAAATTACCAACTTCATTAATTTCACTCTTATCTATAATATATTCTAATAAACATCTAGATAATTTTTAATTTAATTTTTTTTTTCTTATAATTTATTTTATAATTTTTCAATATTTGTTTTAAATGAATGAAAATATTCAATAGCTAATTAATTCTAATATTGTTTACCATATAACATTAAATCCAAAACTTACATATTTAATTGTAGAAAATACAGTTTGAGACAATTAAAGCTTTCTTCAGTCAAATGAGCTAAATCATTACTTTTTCTCAATAAAAAATCTTTAGTTCTGAAATTTCTACCATTGATGTTAATTAAGATTACCCATCTTAATTTGATAATGTACTAAACCATTTAAAAACTAAATCTTTTTCTTAACAACTCTAAAATTAACAAACTAATAATTCCCATAATATAGATATAACACTTATTCTATATTTTATGCTAAAATAAAATTCAAATAATGTTTAATTAAAATATCCATTTTTAATACATTCCAATAATCTTCTTTAAATCTATGATTTGATTTAGCTATATCTAATAATAAATCCAGTTCATCTTTACTTACTTATTTAAGATCTCTATTACATATTTCATCAGTTAAATATTCTAACCATTCTTTCTCTAAACAATTTGAAAAATCTTTAAATAATTTGTAAATAGCTAATTTATGTTCATATTCTGCTTTTTCTAAACTATCCTATATTTCTTTTAGATTAGGTATCCAAATAATTTTTTCTTTAAATAAGAAATTTAAAGAATTCTCCACATCTATAAATGCGAATTGTAAATAAAATATATAAATATAATAAGTATACCTGAATCAACATATAATATTTAAAAATCTTCTTTTCATTTAACCATTCTAATATCATTTACTGTTTGTTTAGTTATTCTTACATTCCATATTTATTATACATTTAGTTCTTTTAAATTATTCTTATATTCTTTTAATCCTTAAAATTTTCTTTCTAAAAAATACTACTAAAACATTTAAATGCAATATCTAAATCAAATATATCAATCATTTCTGATCTTTTTTAAATAGGATAGATTCTTTCTAATAAATTAGTTAATGATTATAATAGTATATCTGTAATTTTCTAAGCAGAAAAATTACGTTAATTATTATCTGTAGATTATAAAATTTTATTCTAAACAACTATCAATTATAAAGTTATATAATTTATAATAAATTATTTATGTAACAAGTCATGTATATAATTTAAAATCTACATGTAATTATGTAAAAAAAATATAGTACATTATGATTAAATCTATTCTAAAATATATTAAAATAATCCTTATAATTAAAAATCATTTATCATTTAAATAAGAATTATTGAACGAAATGTTTATGTAGTTGAAAATCTAGGTATAGTATAATAATTTCAGGATATAAGAAATCATTGAAATCATGAATAATATCTTCTTAATTGTATGGAGTAGTATATTAACCTTTAGAACTGCTTTAATTCTTTCATCATAGTAAAAATTCCAACCAAAATATCTCATCCCCCATTTAATCATACAAATTGGCTTTTTCATCATATATTCTAACAATATATTCAATTTCTTCATCCTTTAAAGTTACGATAATTGTTGCATTCTACCATAAATAACATAATAACAATATATTAAATATCCTGGTTATAAAGAATGTGTCGATTACCATTCTTCATCATTAACTTTACTTTTAGATAATGCCAAATCCATTGATATTTAACAATTTTTTAATCGCCATCCTCATGTTATTTTCTCCAAAAAAATTTCTCATTCAACTTTTCAATTGTTTCTCTACACCAACCTATAATATTTCCTTTCTCATCATCCTATTATAATGTATCAATTTATTAACCCATTATAATTTTGTATAAAATTTCATGATTTGAAAACTACCTCACTAATATAATACTTAATTAGAAGAACAGGAACCCTAACCTGTAATAAAATTGGGTTTTAAGATTTATTATTAAGTCCACCACATTATTATTATTATTAATACTTAATTTACATCAATTATATATTATCTTGATAATAAGTTTAAATATAAATTAAAATCCATTATAAACTACTAAATTAACATTCATAACAACCATAAATTAAATATTATTTTTATTATCGCAAATCTCATCCAGTTATTATGATTCCATCATTACACAAAGGAATTCATTTTATTTATTTATCAATACTCAATTAATAATTGATTTAAGAATGGAAATATTTTCCCTAAGATTCTTCAATAAAATTTAATACTTAGAAGTTATTTTAATTTATGAAATCCAAATATACTAATAATCCTTTTAGGTTGCAATTTTAATGAATCCTAAGAATTTTTTTTGAGATACTCCTTAATTCAAATATTTCTTACACAGTATAAAATATATTAATCACTAGAGTAATTTTAACTATTGTATATTAATTAAATAGTGAATTTAATCAATATCTAAAGCAAATAATACAAAGAAATCTATTTTAAAACAGTTTAATAATCATAATTATCAATAAAATTGATAAAATAATCATCTAAACTTGTGATTGATGCTAATTCAAACATTAACCAATTTAACAATTTGAGGAATCTCTATTACATTTACTACACTGAAATTTAGAATTAAAACAAACGTCATAGGGAATTTATTTCCATCATTATATTGTTCTATCCTTAAATTAATTATTTCATCAAATTGGATTACAATTTTAGTAGAAGTATTCATCCTAAATCCAATCTTCTTTACATAATAAACATTAATCAATTAGCTTTTCTGAACTAACTTCTATTCAATCTTTTTATCTTATAAACTGTAAAATACTTGAAAATCTTTTATTGTTTGAATTATAAAATAAAGATTTAAAAGTATTTTTTTTTATACTTTATATATTATAATAAATTTTGATAATAAAAGGATTTAAAATATGAATGTGTTGTTATTTTCAATCATCATATTTCTTTTCTCCTTTTTTATATTATACTTTATATCCATTTTCAGCCAAATACATGTTTTTAAACCTTTTATATTATATTCACCATTGTACGCAAGTCCTCTAAGATAATCAAAGTAATCATCCAATTCAACCCATTATCCAATCTTTTTCTAATTTCCTTCTAAATCATATGATCCACCACCACTATATATTTCCCTTTTTAACTTATATAACATTAACATGTTTTTAAATTCTTCTTCATATCTAAACATAATATCCCATCTACCTACGTTTATACCATTCGTATTATATTCCCCACTAAAAGTTACTTAAGCAAATTCAAAAAAATTTTCAAATAAATCAATCCATTTTCCTTATTTTTGCCAATTTCATTGTATTCACCTCCTCCACTTAAAATCTTATAAGTAAATAAAATACATCTTTTGATCTTAATAGATAATCTGCCACGTGCCTTTTCTAATGTCATTATCATATATGCCGATTTCAAATGCCTAAGCTTCACTATTTCTTATAACTAAAAATTCTACCTCCAATAATTCTATATTAAATCTTTCCATAGCCCTGATTTTTTCCGTCTACATATAATTTAATTACCAAATTTTCACCTTTCCAGGTAGCCTTCCATCTACCAATCTTATAATTATTCTTTTCATAATTTCCAGACCAATTGAGGTTATTTATTTATTCTAGATTATTCATCACTGAAATATCTTTGACCTTATCACTTATTATTAAATTTTATAAGGTTACATTCTCAATATTTATCTACTATATTTCCTCATTATCTGTTAAAGCTATTGAGAATTATGTTCTGGTCAACTTGAAATTATCACAATTCCAATGAAACTTTATATTTCTTTGTCCTCTACGTTCCTGTTAAATATAGATTGATTAATTCTATATAGATTATTATTTATTAATCACTTAGATATTGAAGAGATTTCTTTTATTTATTCTTTAATCTTTTAGGTAAAAGCTTAAACCTCTTATTCTAATTAGTTATTAAAATTTTATAATTGAGTGTTCCCATCATTTAAATTTTTACCATTTAAGATTTAAACTAATTTTTCCAAATCTGCATATGAGGATTCAGCAAAGTTGGGATTTTTATTGAGCAGCTAAATATATTTTTCATCTTCTTATTATCTTTAATTAAAAATCTATTCAATCGATTAAGATAATTTTTCACACAATTTCTTCACAGTAATTTCTGTATAAGTAATAAGCTATTTTAACTTCACACGAAGTTTATTTTATTCATTTCTTATAACCTTATATTTTTTTAGTCACCTGCTCTAAAAATTAATTAATTGATTAATTTCATATCTGCACCATGTTAGTATTGGCATTCTGCACAAAGTTTTCTTTAACATTTATGAGGGGGGATACAGATCAGAGATAATGGGGTTTCAGGATGTTAAGTACAATTTATTTATTAATATTAATACTAATTTTTATTACTTTTTACAAGTGCTTAAAAATGAATAAAAAATGAATCTTTTTAATAATTAAAATAACAGAAAATTTCATTGTCTTAAGGAAAAGTATACAATTTAGAGAAGCATTTGAGGATTAGATTAGGAATTAGAAGAGGTGTTCTCATAATAATTATTAAATTTAATGTAAATTTTGTAGTGATTATTAAATTATATAATATATAAATGTATTATTTATTAGATGTTGAATATTATTATAAGAATAAAACGAAATAAAGCAGAAAATGGTAGATTTGTTTAAAGGATTTTATGATAATGCTTAATTCACTTATTATAGTGAAAATAGTATCTAGGTCTGTAGGTATGGTAACACTATTTGGAACATTGAAAAGTGTAATTATTTCTTCGTCTAAGCAGAATTTACAATTAACAAATATATTAGAATACTTTTATTCATACTACAATTATAAAATAATATAGAAATTGAAATTTTTTGCAAACATAAAATATACAATAAGGAGAATATTTTTTAAAATATTTTAAATTTCATATTATTTTATTTTAAGATATGAGTTGCTATCAACATGCAAATAATCCTATTGTTGTAATCTGTACAGCTAAGCGTGAGTATAATCAAATTGGTTAAAAGGTTGGTACATAGATGGAAATGTATAGAGAACACGATAAAATGAATGAGGATTTTAAGAAAATTTAAGAAATAAGATATGATAATTGATTAGTTTTAATTCAAATTTTTTAAAATCATTTACATTTAATTAAATTTTCCTTATAAAAATAGCAATACAACTATGATAAATAGATAAAATATTTAGCAGATCTATTTGCTTATACCTTACAATATTCAAATAAGTTATAATTTAGATTAAATATTATATTAAGAATTAAAATGAGTAATTCATTCGGCTCAAATACTGAAAACTGATTAGGTTTAACTTGCCTTAAGTACCATTAAGTTATAAAAAAAAAAATTGTAATCCAATTAGGATCTATTTAAAAACCTCTAATCTTTATATTCAATTAAATATAGTTATAATTCTATTGAGTTATTTATATTTTATTTTCAAAGAATTATAAATTTTCTTATTCTATAATTATTCATAGGTTACTTAAGAAAAATCTAGGAAAATTTTAGAATTTATTCTAATAAGCTCTCTTTAGGTATCTTAGTTCAGACTTTTTCGAGTTTTACTAATAAATTTTCAATAGATTATTGCTAAAAGGAATTAACACATAAAGGAATTAATTTATAAAATTCAGAAATTATCAATTGATAAATAACGATATATCTTGATGAAATTATTAAGTTTAACATTTTTCTATTATTTAGCTACTTAAATAATTATTCATTATTTAAAATGAAAATTATATTAAAATATTTGTAATTGATAAATATACCTTAGAAATTAAATATAAAAATTGAAAAATTATTAACAACTTAATATTTTATTGTGTATCATTTTTTCTAAATAAATTCATAAATAATCATTATTATTCAATTTAAAACGGGATTATCTACTTATTCCAGAGTAAAGTTAGTAATAAAAGTATAATTAAATCAAATTTAAATTTCAATAATTAGATCTGGAATTGTTTTTTCCAATATATGATTTTAATTTTTTTTACCTTTTATATGAATTAGTTCTCCATTCAATCATATAATCTGCATTTTTGTATATATTTCTTATATTCACTAATAAGAAACTTGATTTTTGGGATAATTATAAAATATGTTTATGAATTGTAGGAGATTATATATAAAAGAAAGATTCAAATAAATTATTTTATTTGTTTACAATTAATTAAGATTTTTTTAAATAATTGTAATAAAATTTAAGCTATTTAAATTTCGAAAATAGCAATAATTATTATAATTATGAAAAACTATTTCATAATGCATATTTTTGTATCCATTCTTATACTGTAATTACAAATTGTTATTTGTTGGATTTATAAATTTTTGCAATATCTGGATCTAATGGATCATCTGGGTTAGGATCTTCCAAAACTTCACAAATAATCAATAGGACTATAATTTTAATAAATACTTCATTACGTTTACTTATTTTCAAAGCTGGAGACCATTAATCTTTTAATACATCTAAGCTTANTAAAATGAGTAATTCATTCGGCTCAAATACTGAAAACTGATTAGGTTTAACTTGCCTTAAGTACCATTAAGTTATAAAAAAAAAAATTGTAATCCAATTAGGATCTATTTAAAAACCTCTAATCTTTATATTCAATTAAATATAGTTATAATTCTATTGAGTTATTTATATTTTATTTTCAAAGAATTATAAATTTTCTTATTCTATAATTATTCATAGGTTACTTAAGAAAAATCTAGGAAAATTTTAGAATTTATTCTAATAAGCTCTCTTTAGGTATCTTAGTTCAGACTTTTTCGAGTTTTACTAATAAATTTTCAATAGATTATTGCTAAAAGGAATTAACACATAAAGGAATTAATTTATAAAATTCAGAAATTATCAATTGATAAATAACGATATATCTTGATGAAATTATTAAGTTTAACATTTTTCTATTATTTAGCTACTTAAATAATTATTCATTATTTAAAATGAAAATTATATTAAAATATTTGTAATTGATAAATATACCTTAGAAATTAAATATAAAAATTGAAAAATTATTAACAACTTAATATTTTATTGTGTATCATTTTTTCTAAATAAATTCATAAATAATCATTATTATTCAATTTAAAACGGGATTATCTACTTATTCCAGAGTAAAGTTAGTAATAAAAGTATAATTAAATCAAATTTAAATTTCAATAATTAGATCTGGAATTGTTTTTTCCAATATATGATTTTAATTTTTTTTACCTTTTATATGAATTAGTTCTCCATTCAATCATATAATCTGCATTTTTGTATATATTTCTTATATTCACTAATAAGAAACTTGATTTTTGGGATAATTATAAAATATGTTTATGAATTGTAGGAGATTATATATAAAAGAAAGATTCAAATAAATTATTTTATTTGTTTACAATTAATTAAGATTTTTTTAAATAATTGTAATAAAATTTAAGCTATTTAAATTTCGAAAATAGCAATAATTATTATAATTATGAAAAACTATTTCATAATGCATATTTTTGTATCCATTCTTATACTGTAATTACAAATTGTTATTTGTTGGATTTATAAATTTTTGCAATATCTGGATCTAATGGATCATCTGGGTTAGGATCTTCCAAAACTTCACAAATAATCAATAGGACTATAATTTTAATAAATACTTCATTACGTTTACTTATTTTCAAAGCTGGAGACCATTAATCTTTTAATACATCTAAGCTTAATTGCCCCTAAGAATTAATATTTGGATGGTATATTGGAGTTAAAAATCGAATCTTAGGAGGTCTGAAAGGGTAGTCTTGAGGAATTTCAATTTGGAGTTCAAAACGGCCTCCACAATATAAAGATCCTTCAGCTCCTGTAATAGTTGCTATCCATTTAAAATAATCTTATTTATCAAAAAGACAAACAGAACAATTAGGTGGTAAGTCTTTTGAAAGATCATCCCATTCTTTCTTTATTCTTTTAAGTGACATATAAAATATTAAATAAAAATAATTACATTTCATTTAAAAATTATGATTTTCTAGTGAACTTGTCAATACTGTTTATTATATAATATTTTTTAAATTTATATAAAATAATCAACTTTTATAAAGAGTCTCTGGGTCAATTTTTGTCATTTAATAAATTCCCATTACTTTTTCTTTCACCTATAAAATTAGCTTATATTAATGAATTAACATTTACAATCAGATTACATAACTTTAAATCTCAGAATCTCCAAGGCAGATTCAAATCAAAATATTTCTAAATATACATTCAAAAAAATTTGTCATTAAATACAACATCTATTGATTCATATTTGACCATTTGGATAACAAAAATTTCACAAAGATTATTAAAATTATCATCAATAATAAGATTTTAATCATCTCGCTATTCCAATACTTCAATTATTCCATCTTTTCATTTTATTGAATAAATTCTATTTTTAAAGTATTTTCAAGTAAATGTTCTTAGATTTAATTTACATTTCTAAATAATTAGATAATTATGCAAAATTCAATCCAACTATATTAGTATTTATCGATTCAAAGATGAATATCATTTTTAGTGAATGGTATTATTAAATTAACCTATATATAATTTATTATTATAGTTATTCACAAATTTAATTGATAATTCTGATTTCATAAATTTCTTTAGTAAAAAGAATTTAGAATAATTTTTGTTTAAATGCACAGCCGATTTCTATCTTTATATTTAATTTTCTAATTTTGAAGAATTCCTATAATTTCAATAATTGAATTTAAGTGCATTAATTCTGCAATGGAAATTTAAATATTCGTTAAAAAAATTCATGAAATCAAGAAAATTTTAAATTAGAGTCCTTATATGCATAAAACAATAGTATTTCAAAGAAGTAATAATTTTAAATTTCAGAATTATTTTAACATAGATATAATAAATTAATTTTCTAAATTGTTTAACACAACCAGATAATCCCCGGTATTGTTAAGTGTACTGCAAATATTACTACTTGAAAACGATAATGAAGACAAACTTAGCTATTCGATATTTAAAAAACCACTAATTATGTAGAGAAATTATCCATTTTTTTAAAGTAGAATATCATTAGCTGCATTATATTGAGAAAAGAGGTCTCTAAATGTTATGATTACCTCTAAATAGCAATCTCCTTAACTTTAACAAAAATGATCTCTTAACTTTAATACTAATAAACTTAAATTTTTAAATCTATCGGTTGAAAAACAAAATAGCTATCATTAATAAAGCATAGTCTCAATCCATGAATATCAACATTAATTATTTATTTGATAATCCATTCTTAATCTAATTTCATTGCTACATTGATACAATTATCAAATGCACATGATATTAATAAAGTTTCAGATGGATTTAAGCTTAAAGAATAAATTGGAGCCATGTTGTGGGAAATCAAAGTTTGAAAAAATTTCCAACAATTTACATTATACCAAAATCTTATCTACCCTTGTGAACCTATTATTGTAATTGATTCATCCTTATTCATAGTCATACTATCAGTAAAGACTAATGCGATTAGTTTTAAAGTTTGCTTGTTATTGTTTAATCCAATTATTGAGGAGACTTGGATGGATCCAAAGACTGTATACAAAATTAGTTAGTTTGATTTTTCCATATAATATAATTTTTTTGCATTTTCTTCTAAGCTAGGAAGCTTTTAATAAATTTTAGGCTTCCTTATTTGAAAAAATAAGCACTCGTGTAAGTTTTATTATTTTAGAAAAGTAATGAAGAATTCTAATTGAATATCATTTCTTAGGATCTATGATTTTTGTTGTGAATATGCTATTAATTAATTTATTAAAACTTAAACTGTTATTATTTCTGATTATTTTGAACCTAATTCATTTGATATTTATAATAATAAAATACAATTTATATTCAATTATTTTATTACAATAATTATTCATCATTTTAATTTGAATTAAAATTTACAGAAAAACTATTAAGTTTGATAATGGTAAATAAGAAAATCTCTTATTAATAAAATAGATGAGAAAATGAATATTAATATTTTAAATATTCTGTTAAATTTACTGTTCTAGACCAATAATTCATATAATGCTGTTCAAATTCACTTAACATTTTAGTTTAAATTAAGGTAAATTTGACAAATCAATTTTTCGGAAGAATAAGAATCGAGAATGCTTTTTTAATTGGAACAAACTTATCTATAGGCAATTTAAATTAATCTGAATTCAACACAGAGGATTTAAGTGGAATGAATTTAAACGAAGCTCTTCTTTGCAACAGAAGTACATTAAAATACACGAATTAAATAAAAAAGTTGACCATTAATCTAGAATGCTTCTCGACAGTTGAAACTTTACTTCTGGTAGTGATGATAAGTCTATTCGCTTTTATGATTTATTTCTTCAGATAAAAAATAGAAAGATCATCTACCATAACTTAAATTACCTTTAATTTAAAACAACTCACTTGCAGAAAGTATTAATTTTTAAGTTATTTTTAGTTAGGTCATATATTAATATCCCCTTGTATCCCAATCCATAAATTTCAAGCAAAAGGGACTGTGATTCTTAAAGGAGATTTGAGAATCATTAAGATTATGATTTAATAGAATAATTAAAAAATTGATTTTTATTTCTAATAACATTTCTCTTTAAGTTTATGATATTTAATTGAGAAAACCATAAATTATTATTTAAGATTTGAATGTTTTTTCTTAATATCCAAGATAATGAAGAATATATTAACCTTCATTAGATTAAAATGTAAATGGAAAAAAAATTATTAACAATTTCATTCATACCAGATTACAGTAAGGTTGGAGACAATTATTACGAATATTAAGTAGAAATTAAGAGTTATAAAATAGCTGCTTTCGATTATACTTAATATTGCAATTAGTAGATTTAATGGCTACTTATAAATTGTTTTTTTGCTTTTGATTATTATATGAAGAATAATTACAGCAGGAATAAGACTTTTTCTATTTTTCTTTTCTGAAACTTAGATATAATTTACTTTAATTAAATTCAATACTG